TAAGTAAAAAGTAACACGCTCATCTTTAATTAGTTTGCGTTCAAAGACAGAAGTTGATTGGTGTTAGTTCATTTGTAATACTTTCTTCATCACACAGCAGACGAGTTAAATACGGTATCGTAGAGCTTTTATATTTTGTAGTACCTACATAAAGTTTTATGTACTTACTGCTTGTCTTTCCAGGTGATCGACACGGAGAGAGCTTTGAGTGGAGAGGATACTGGTCATCTGGTAAAATAACTCCTGCCAGATGTTTACATGAGTTAGGATGTTTGTCCACAACTGTTTTAATAAGAAGGTTTATGGGTACACTACTAGTTCTGCTGACAATCTTCAAAATTCTATGTAATAAAGCATAGTCTTTTTTCAGCAATCCGGGGAAAATTAAGGGAGAACACCAGAGGAGAAGAACCTCGCCTGGTTAACTAGTTTACTAGTTACTAGCCGGTCCTAAGCCCGGGTAAAGAGGGAAGGTTGGGCATAGGGCTAGCAACCCTACCCCGTAAAACAAATCTAACCGCTAAAGAAACTTCAAAGCACAAACAAAATATAAAAAATGAAAACAAACTTATTCCCCGCTGGAATCGGAGAGGCGAAATGACGCCAGTTGGTGAAAGCCTTCGGGAAGCCAATTGGCCGATGTGTCTTCTCTCGATGAAAGCGAAAGTAAACGTGGGGACATGGAATGTCCGCACGATGTTTGAACCCAGTAAGGCAGCCCAGATTGCAAAGGAGATGAGAAGGTATAACATCGAAGTGCTTGGGATTTGCGAAAGCAGATGGAATGGGAGTGGACTCTCCAAACTGTCAACGGGAGAATCAATAATCTACTCCGGTCACCCAGACGCCAACCACGAGCACACTGAGGGAGTGGCTATCATGATGTCCTCAAGAGCATCGAAGGCTCTCATGCAGTGGGAACCAATCTCCTCCAGGATCATGTCAGCAAGATTCAACTCAAAAGGAAGAAAGGTCACAATCATACAATGTTATGCACCTACAAATAATGCAGAGCAAGAGAAAAAGGAGGAATTCTACAGACAACTTCAGTCAACACTGGACAAGACGTCAGTTGGCGATATCAAAATTCTAATGGGCGACATGAATGCCAAACTGGGAGGGGACAACACGGGAAGAGAACTAACCATGGGTCGAGAGGCGCTAGGTGAAATGAATGAGAATGGAGAATTGTTTGCAGAATTCTGTGCATTCAACGATTTGGTGATTGGAGGCAGTGTGTTCAGGCACAAGGATATCCACAAAGCGACATGGATTTCACCAGATGGACACACTAAAAACCAAATCGACTTTATCTCAATCTCAAGAAAATGGAGACGCAGTCTACTTAACACAAGGTCAAGAAGAGGAGCAGATGTAGGTTCAGACCACTATCTAGTGCAAGGAACCTTCGAAATCAAGTTAAAAGCCTTCAAGGAAGCTGGTGATAGACCTCAATTCAAGTACAACACTCGGAAACTGAAGGATGAAACTACAAAGGAGATCTTCAAAGCAGCCATCAAGACAAAATGGGAGACGTCGAGGGACATCCCTGAAGAAACCTGTGTAGAAGAACACTGGAAGTCTTTGAAAGCTATGTGGAAAGAAACCTGCACAACAGTATTAGGAAGGAAGAAGAAAGAAGACAAGGAATGGATCTCGACGGATACCTGGAAGCTGATAGAGGAGAGGAGGATGGTGAAGCAGAAGATAAACCAGTGCAAGGATGCTCAACGACAAGAGGAACTGAGCACAATGTATAAAACACTGGATAAAGAAGTGAAGAAGAGTGCACGCAAAGACAAACGACACTTCTACGACACACTGGCAAGTGAAGCAGAACAGGCTGCAGGTAAGAGAGACCTGACGACATTGTATCAAATAACCAGGTTGCTATCAGGGAAGAGACCAACACAGATGAAACCAATAAAAGATGAAGAAGGAAATTTAATTACAAAAGAAGAGAAACAGAGGAAACGATGGGCCGACCACTTCAAGAAGCTCTTGAATCGACCACCACCTGCACTTCGTCCAGAAATACCACCTGCAGCCGCTGAATTACAAGTGAACATAAATCCCCCAACGAAAATGGAAGTCCTGAACGCCATAAAGCTACTGAAATGCGGGAAAGCAGCAGGACCAGATGGAATACCGCCAGAAGCACTGAGAACAGATGCAGAGACAACAGCGGACATGCTCACACCACTATTGCAGAAGGTGTGGAGGGAAGAGAAGGTACCTGACGATTGGAAGAAGGGTTACCTTGTCAAACTGCCGAAGAAGGGAGACCTCAGTGCTTGCAAGAACTGGCGAGGAATCACTCTCCTATCCACCCCAAGTAAAATATTAAGCCGCATCATCCTGGAGAGGCTTAAAGACGCACTGGATTCAAAACTGCGACCGGAACAGGCAGGCTTCAGGAAGTACAAATCATGTGCTGACCAAATTGCAACGCTTCGTATCATCATAGAACAGAGCGTAGAATGGCAATCAGCTCTATACCTCAACTTCATCGACTTTGAGAAGGCCTTTGACAGCGTCGACCGAGAAGTAATTTGGAAACTGCTTCAATACTACGGAGTACCGCAAACCTTTATCCGCCTCATTCAACAACTATATGAAGATGCCACATGCCAAGTAATCCACAATGGGAAGCTCAGTGATGCCTTTGAAGTGAAGACAGGAGTGAAACAAGGTTGCCTACTATCCCCCATGATATTCCTATTGTGGTGGACTGGATCATGCAGCAAACAGTAGGCAGCGAGAAGAGGGGGATACACTGGACGACGGAAAAGAACCTAGAAGACTTGGATTTCGCCGATGACTTATGCCTAATGTCACATAAACTTGAAGATCTGCAGGCAAAAACTAACAAGTTGACAGAGGAGGCAGCTAAGACGGGACTTCAGGTGAATATAGAGAAGACAGAAGTGATGAAGATACCGCACCACCACCATCAACAACAACAACAAACTCCAATCACCGTCAACGGTAGAAACTTGAAGGAAGTAACCTCCTTCACTTATCTAGGAAGCACTGTTTCAACTACAGGCGGGACGGACGAGGACGTCAAAGTCAGAATCGGAAAAGCAAGACAGGCATTCATTAGCCTGAAACCAGTGTGGAGATCTTCTGCACTCAGCATGCGGAACAAGATACGGATTTTCAACACCAACGTCAAGTCAGTGCTCTTGTATGGCTCAGAGACTTGGCGCGTCACGAAAGGCATTTCCAATAAACTACAGACATTCATCAACAACTGCTTACGCTCGCTGCTGAAGATCAGATGGCCAGAAAAAATAAGCAACAAGGAACTCTGGGAACGAACCAACCAAGAACCTATCACGCAACAAATATGCAGGAAGAAGTGGAGATGGATTGGGCATACACTGAGAAGGCCGACTGAGGACATCACGCGTCAGGCCCTCGAGTGGAATCCCCATGGGAAGCGACGAGTTGGACGTCCGAGGGTGACATGGAGGAGGTCGTGCGAGGAGGAAATGAGAGCTTCTGGGCTGTCGTGGAACCAGGTTCAAAAGATCTCAGAGAACAGAGGTCACTGGAGGCGTGCTACTGAAGCCCTATGTTCCACTAGGAACCCAAGGGACTAATAATAAATAAATAATAAACCAGAGGAGAAGAGACAAGATGCAGGAGTTTACAAAACACAAGAGGAGAGGCTGAGTTACACTAGATACTCTCAGCTTCCTAACATAGAAAGTTAGGTGGGAAATCCTTTTGGAAATTAATAAGATATGAAAGGATCAGAAGAGGTCCGAAGAAAAACACACCGAGATAAATCATACTTCTAACATTTTCTAATGCACAACAACCAATAGAACAGAAATCGTGAGAACTAAGCAGTTTACACAGGTTATGTTCACATCTAAAACTAAAGTTTATGGTCTGACATTTTGAAGAATTAAGCATAAGACCATTTTCGAAGGACCATCGTCTAACAGTAGATAGGAAATCATTCGGTTGGGAGCAATCTGCTGATGAGGAGATAGGTATGGAAACTGTTAGGTCATCAGCATATTTAATGAAATTGATACCAGCTGAAGAAGGTAGGTCATGCAGAAAGAATGGGAAAATATTTGAGGGAAGGATGGCTCCTTGGGGAACTCCAGTCACAGTAAGCGATGAGGTGGAGCGTTTCCCTCTGTGAATAGTATGTCGTTTCCTATCAGAGAAATGGGAATGCAGCCAGCTGATTATCCGGGACTCAGTATTTGTCCTGGTTAGCTTGTGCAGTAAAAGGAAGTCTCAGGACATAATCAAATGCCGAAGTATAGTCTAAAAAGGCATACCTGAGATACTTGGCATTTTTATCAAGACTATAAGTAATATCGTGATATAAGAGAGTGGTGGCATCTAAAGTGCTTCTTCTGCTTTTATATGCAAATTGATTAGGGTTTCCGAAAGCCTTCAGTGAAGGCTCAAGCACAGGTATTATAAGCTTCTCCATTATTTTTAAGAACGGAGAGGTAACTGCAATCGGACGGTATTTTGTACATGCACCTGGAGTCCTAGGACTTAGGTATGGGGACTATATTGCTCGCACTATTAACAGAAGTTGAAAAAAATAGGATATTGGATAATAATCCAGTGGCGGAGTGAAAACATATTCACTGCAAGACTTGGTGATCGTGGGTATGCACTGTTCAAGTGTCTTAAACTAGAACGATACAGCTGTTTAGCGCTCCCAGGTTATTCATCGTCTTTTGGCTGATGATGAACCATAATTAAGACATCTCAGAAATATCTGCGTGATTATTTGAGACAACAAACTCGACTAAAAAATTGTAATTTTCAAGTAACCATGGGCTGACTACCACTAAACTCTATCACATTTGTTCTGGGTGGTTGATAATGAACATTTAACGACAGCAATTTTCTGCATTATGACACCAATGTTAAGATAGGTTACAATAGACAGTAAACTGTACCTATGAGAATATATTTAATAAAATTTCAATGTTACTGAGCAAGTTAATACTAACCTTCAGCAAGAGTGATCGCTGCATTTGACACTACAGCTGCTCTTGACTTGGGCAAAGGATGTTGAACAAGATTTGGTGCATTGATATAAGTTGGAATATTTTGTGAGGTAGATGAGACAATATTTTGATTGGCTGAAGTAACTACAGAAGATTGTCTTTGTCCACCTTCATGATTACCAGTCAATTTACTTTGTACAGAACTATGAAATGATGGAGTTACAGTTGGTTGAGACAAAGAAGTATTTGGATGACCAAATCCTGAATGATGCTTCACACCGCCGCCGCCACCGCTAAGTGATGCTGGTGATTCCCCTCGACTTCCGCGAAGAATAATTCCTTGTCTAAGTAGTACACCTGAATCAAGACAGTGTGAACCAACTGCATAATTGCTTTCATTAATCGACTTATCACCGCCTACTCTTTCCATATCATACTCAGAATCATCATCTTTATACTGTTCAACGTCAGCTTCATCACCATGTTCTCCTCTGCCCATGACTTCCTCCATATCTCCTATACTATCTTCTTCCCCCTCCTCCTCTTTTTCATAATCCCACTGGTGAGAAATGGGATTTACCTTACCACATACATTCGAGTCAATACTTTTGGCATCTTTCAATTGAGGGGAATTTATTGTTGCTATCATTGTCTCTGTTGTTGTTGTTGTCGTCGTCATCGTACTGATTGACTGGTTTTTCGGATGACAACTCTTCAAAGGATTGTGAACCATAACCATACCAGCTGAGAAAGCAGCCAGTAAAGCAGACTTAAATGAAAGCGAATAGCAAGAAAATAACGAAGTTGAACATAAAAAGCCAATCGAAGTAAGATAAAATAAAGGTTAACAGCCCTACTTGATAGGTTTATTGTCAATCAATCGGCTAACCACCAACTGTCTGCAGCATTATAGTGAATCAAATTAGTCACAATCTATGATGGAATGGTTAAAGGTTGATACTCAAAGCTCATAGTCTATATTTTTGAGCTTTCATATTCTCCAGTTTCTCATCCTGGAAGCTGACTACTGACTAGACAGTTAATCAAACGTATTTCAATAATTGGTCAGTTTTGTTTGTTTGATTTCAGGACCCTAAATATCTGTACATTGATCAGTCGGTTCCACTCAGATTAGTAAGATCAACTTCTTTAACATCGATAACTCAGCGCAATTGTATCTTGGATAAACTGATTCCATTTTCGTCGCAAATGTATTTATAAACTGAATACTTCTAATGTAAAATATCCACATACAGTATACAGAAGTGCTTCTCGTGCCCTAGCGGATAACGCTACGGGGTACTGGATTTCGGTATCAATGGGAACAACATCGCTCACTGAGGTACAGGTACATTCAGCTGACGAGTCCCAAATAGGATGTAAAGCGCGTACTGGATCCCGCTGCTAGTCATTAAGCAGATTACAACACACTGATGTATTGTTGATTGAGTCAGCCTCGTTAAACAGACTGTCCAATACACTTTTGATCATTATTATTTGTCCCTTGGATTCCTAGTCGAACATAGGGCTTCAGTAACAGGTCGCCATTTCACTCTCTTCTCTCCAGTCCTCTGAACCTGGCTACACCACTGCCCACCACCTTTCATTTCTTCCTCACACCATCTCCTACATGTCACCATCGACTCAGACAACCAACTCGTCCCTTCCCATGCGGGTTCCACTCGACGGCCTGGCCTAGCCTGACACGTGACATCCCAAAACCCTCTTCTCAGTGTATATCCAGTCCAGTCCAGTCCAACCCAACCCATCTCCACCTTCTTCTCATGCACATTTGTTGGGCGATAGGTTGTTGGTTGGTTCGTTGCCAGCCAGCCAGAGTTCCTCGTTGCTTATTCTTATTATTATTCTGATCACCTGATCTGATCTTCAGTGTCAGTATTGAGTGAGCGAACGTAGGTGGCAGCTGTTGGTGTGATGTATGTGTGCAGGTTGTTGGAAATGCTTTTCGTAACGCACCACCAAGTCTCTCAACCATCACATAGAAGCACTGACTCACTTGACTGACATTAGTAGTGTTGAGAATCCGGATGTTGTTCACGCTTTATGCTGAGTGCAGTGGAGTAGAGTGGATTGCGATGGAGTGCAGTAGATCTCCACACTGACTTCAGATTGATGAATGAAGGCGTGTTTTGCTGTCTTTCCGATGGTGGTTTTGACATCCTCATGTGTGCCGCGACCGCGACCGCCACCTGTAGTTGAGATGATGCTGCCTAGGTAGGTGAGTGGGTGAAAGAGACAACTTGGTCTAGATTTCTCCCATTGATGGTGATTGGTGTTTGTGTTGTTGTTGGTTGGGTATCTTCATCACCTGTGTTTTCTCTACGTTCAGCTGAAGGAAGTGTCGTCTTCCTTCGCTGCCTCGCCTCGCCTCTTCTGCCAACTTGTTAGCTTTTGCCTTTGGATCTTCGAGTTTGTGCGACAAGACATTAGACATAAATCATCATCGTTGGCAGAATCCAAATTTTCTAATGATTCACTCCAATCACGCTAAATATGAAGAACTATATATTATGAACACATTTATAAACCAGATTTCTGTCCTGGATTTCCAATAGTGTGGTGTAACATTGGATGAAAGAGCAATCTTATCGCTGACTACTAAACTCCATATCACCCGTGACTGACTATTCGTTATCTGAAGGTCAGATGAGAAGTACCTTACTTTTCTCATACTTTCATCTACAAGTACTTGTCGAAATTCATCAATGCACTTGCTTCGATAACCTTTGTTTCTAAATCTCGATATCGTTAGAAATATAACGCAATCAACAGGTTTACCGTTTTCTCTTTTGATTTTATTCAGTTTTGACTGTGAATAGTCACTGATCGGTCATAGTGAGTTAATCGTACTAAAAGGTAGCGATTTGAAGTGACTGTTTTGTCGATCATTTTCAGTGCTACAATTAAAAAAGTGGTAAGTCCAGTAAAAATCACCCCTGATCAAACATTGACAATATGGTTACAGTATGGAGACACAAAATTAGAAAAATTCAAACTTCATCTTGATGACATTGAAAAAATGCATATGAACTTCTACAAAAAAGTGAATTCACTTTGTTAATTCCACTGATTGATCACACGAGTAACGAATCTGATATTAAATTTTGAGGGAGTTGTGGAGATTTGGAAATATTTCAAGTTGTGCTGGTCACTAGCTTCGAGAAGTATTCCCGAAGTTCCAATGAGAAGTCGTGACCGGTGGAGTCAAAGCCTGATGGCCGTGAGGACAGATATTCAACGATGACATTGAGTGGCGGTTGCGCTATATCGTGAGCTAACAGAAGTTGGAAATATGGAGCATTGGATTCTGACCCAGTGGCTCAATGGTAACGCGCTGGCCGCGGAACCTGAAGGTCGCGGGTTCGGTCCCTGGCGGGGTCGTGGGCGCGCACTGCCGAGAAGTCCCACACTAGGACGAAACAGCTATCCAGTGCTCCCAGGTTTCCTTTGTTCCTCCAACTGATATCAGTCTACGATGAATAACAACTTGGAATTTGGTATTATCTAATCCTAAAGATATTCCATCGATCATTAGGCAATGCGGCTAACCAATCTAAGAGACTCATCATTGCAATACACTTCAATTAGTGTTAGATGATTAGAGGCAGTTAGTAGGAAACCCTCAACCTAGTTTTTGAGTTTTTTGGCAGTCGTCAACAAGGCGTATCTACAACCTCCAGGGAAGTGATTTTACCTTAGAGATTCGAAGCTGCGCTTTCCACAAATCCATCAAAATCACATCTACACATTAAATAACCGTCACTATAAATGAAAAGATTCGTGAAACCAAATTTTACGTTGAAACGAAACATTGAAACAAAGTAAGTAACCTTCAACCTGAAAGTGAATTTGCTTCATCACTGTGTTAACTTTACACAATAAAAACACCTACCTTTGAAAGAGAAATGTTTTCAATTTAGAAAATATACAAAAAGTATAGATGGAAACTGGAAAAGTTTAGATCAATGTGAATTTGAATTGTATGCCGAAAAAACTAGACGTAAATCTAAACTCATATCTGAAGTGATGACACTATGACACACGGTTTATGATAGGAAGGCAACGCTAGTCGAACACCTGAAGCCTTCTCATGTCTTCTAACTTTAATAAACATGTTTCACAACCATCTAGTAGAACAGAGTGAACTCCAGCACAGTACACGCGACTCTTAATAGACAATCGGATATCATAGCAGCTCCACAGACAGCGTGAGATGACAAAAATCAATCGAACAATCTGTATGCGCACAGAGATTTCATCGACCAGTCAACAACGCATTCAAGAACTTCACTCCCTACTGTTACCCAGGGCATCACAAAAGTCCAGTCCTGGAATGAAAATTACCATTTGGGTGGCGAGAAAAGTGTCCCAAACATTTTTAGATTACCACTCAAGGTATCCAGAAAACTCTATCTTGCCAGCGTCTCCACCTAACACGACTCTGTCGTTTGCGTATTCTAGATCTACTAAGGATTCTCCTATGATCAGAGTAATCCTGTCATTCCAGATGACGAGAGGGAGACTTCTGTGAGAACCTCCATGATAACATTGAATAAGGATGGAGAGTGGATATTTTTTGACGGACACCACTCATGTGGTGACTCATCACAGGTTCTAACACGCCCACAGCTGCTCGGATGAAGAGCCTTTAACGGAGCGATGTACTTACTCGGCCCCCCTATCAGTGAAAGACACTGTCATGAGGCCCTCAGATCGACGAATTCAAGTGCCGTCTATGGGTCGAGAAATACGAGTGTGAGGCGTCGGTGTGTCTATGTTTCAGAACCTGGTGGGGTCTGAATATCTAGTCGATACACCCACGAACAGGTATAAAGCCTCTCTGGTTTTCTTGCATTTGCTGATTCCTTTGTGGTCACTACAAGAGGAATTCTCGCCTTTCTTGGTTGAGACTAGTCAGAGAGAATTATATTTGACTCCAACAGACTAGTTAACATTTAAACAAAACTCTACACCGGACTTCTGTTCCGTATATGGTGGTTCCAGGACACTGGAATGTTAATTGGTTAGCAGCCAAAAGCGTACAAAATGGAAAACTTCAAGTACTTTCTAGGATTCAGGTTATTTAGAAAGAATGTTATTTTAATATTTCGGTAAAGTTTCTAGAAGTTAATTGTTGAAAGAGAGAGAGTCTTCACGTTACACAGAACATAAAAAAGCAAACATGACGGATAAACATAGTTCTGTAAGCACCAATCATCATACAATGCTCAAATGATACAGTTTTTTAGGATGATGATGAGGAATGAGTTATTCGAGATGAATGTAAAGAAAAGAAATACACCCATAGTTAAAAGCAAAACCACTTACTAATACACTAATGGATATATTCATCGAGGATAATAATAGTTTCAATGATATATTAGACAATTTATTCCACGGTGGTTTCTACACAAACATATATATATATATATATATACACACACACAGGTATAAAAAACCATATGTATCCATAAATGTTAGAAAACGTCTGAAAACAAATAAACAGAACTAACTTTATAAAGATGATGAAGAAACATTGAAAACAAAAGAAATCAGAGTAAATTAACTAGACTATCATCTGATCATTAATCACTTAGCATGATATCCTGCTGTGTTTTAAATAAAAGACAATTGACCGTTGCCAGTATCTAGCATGTTGCCATGACTGACATCAGTGGTCACTATTTCATTTAAATAGTCTATGAAATGAGTAATTTTTGAGCATAATTTTAGTAAATCTCGTCATTT